TGGCCTGGATTTGAACTGCAACTAGAGGTGCAGGTTTCATGATGTTTGAGTTGTACAGTAAGGTCTTGTTATTTGCAAGAAGTTTAGAGACATTGAGAGATGCAGATGGACCATTAATTAGATTAATCATACTGCCAACATCAACATTGGAAGGAGCAGCTCTTGAAATGCCGCTAAAGATGGTACCAACCTTGGCTTTCTTCCTACCCAGCTTGGAAACTTTGGTGGTTTTTTTAGGAGGCATGAAGATAATGTATGATGTCGAGCTTGATGGATGGAAGTGAGGAAGTGAGAAATTTTCATTCATTATTCTTTGATCTCATATATACTTCTAGAAATGTGGCATGGAGATCCAAACACACAATTTTGTGGTCTGATCTGAGCTCAGATCATGATTCTTGCCCTGGCACATATAAGTACAAATGACAAATACATATCATATTATATCAAATGGGAGATTGGAAGTAGTGATCTAGAAACTAGAATACAGACAATGCATAGTTGCCTTGTCAATGCAATCATAATAGTGTTAATTATGTGTTAAGGTCGTACTCTCGTAGGATCAGATCCGAAGGACTTTGGCCTTAGCTCGTACACTGTACCCCTTTCCCAAGTACTGTCCCTTATTTCAAGTACTAACGATAACACATCCGAAGGTCCGGACTGGCCTTGTATTTATATCCGGATGACATCCGGATATCAGAAATATGTATAAGACTAATCCGGACAAGTCCAAACTAGAAACCAACAGAGTATAGACTATCGGAATCTATCCGAAGTCACGGAGATTGACAAGAGCTTATTAGACTCAAGTCCGAAGGACAGAAAGAGGACAAACTAAGATGACATTCGAACTGAGGTACTACAGGACATATACACGAGTTTATATACTAAGAGGATAACAGAAGGATCAGTAAGCAAAGGTCCGAGGCTATGTACGAAGCATGTGCAAAGGTTATCAAACGCGAGTCAGAAATGAAGCATAGGTTAACGGATCAGTAAGCATACTGGTAATAAGTATAACTGAAACACTGGGAAGAGGAAATACCCAATAGGCTGTGTTTAATGTTATATGAACAGGAAATGAATTAAGAAGCTTATCGTAAATTGGATTGGAAGCGGATCTATGCATTGGACCGGATTGGATCTAAGGGTCCAAAGTCCGGAAGAGAAGTGTGAATATATGGGATATGACACTACCAGATGATGACCTCCACTTGTGACTTATTGTGTAACTTATGTAAGCAGCATCACTTATCCCTACAAATCAATTGACCCCATTGGAAGCGGATCTATGCATTGGACTGGATTGGATCTAAGGGTCCAAAGTCCGGAAGAGAAGCGTGAATATATGGGATATGACATTATGCCTAAATAGCAAGTGTATACAAAAACATAGTGATATGAGACTGCATTAAGAAGGAATAGGTGCAGTTCTTTCAAGCAAGCAAGTAGAAGATGTGGTTAGCTTTATCTGTGGAGGAAGAGCCTGCTACTGGTTTGATGACCTCAGCAAGCTTTCCTCACAATGAAGTAGAGGAAATGTGCGAGCAGGGAATCATCTGGTCATCAAGTGGCAAAGAGACTGTTTGAGTAGGAGACAGCATGGAAATAGAAGGAAGTGCGATAGAAGCCAATGGACCAATGTGTGATGCATATCCAGGGCCAGTAGGGCGGGGATGAGTGTACTGTCAATGTGATAGAGATGACACATCTCGCTTGCCATATATGCAAAGATAATTTGAACATCACTCCTATGGATCACTATGGATCACTATGGATCACCAATTCTATGTCATATCATGTTTATTTTCCATTTGTACTTACACATTCTAGCACAAGAATTATACATTTGGGCTTGTAGGGGAAATAAAATATTTGAAATTCATAAAACACTGAACTAATATAACAAACATGGAGATGTGGCTGCAAGCGATACAAAAGACAAAGTACAAAAACATTATGTTAAGTAGTAGACTCTAAGGGTATAGCCAACCAACAGCTGCTGCCAGTCTTCCCTGGGACAAACTTCTTTGAGTTAGTGGGTTGGCTGAATTGCATCAACTTTTTGCAATGCTCGTTGGTACATTGAAAGTGATGAATCAACCATTCTGCACCTTGGACATTGAAGTGGCAAATATTGCTCCCAAGGCCTATGGTCGACATGAGCCCAGCTGAATTTCACAACTGTCAGACCCCTACTACCATCAGTATTCTTCATCAGTAATATAACATCAGTGTGTCGACCTAGCTTTTTCGATTGACTGAGTATTTGAGAGAATATATATCTGTGATCCTGAAATGTTTGATAAGAACAATCATACTGCAAAAGAATGGGTGTTGTTCACCATCCCACTGCAAGAGAAAAGCCATAAGTATTACTCTTTAGCTCAATCAATGCCAAGCTGCTATGGCTTAAGAATGATCTGTGTGAACTAAAAAATACTGAGTATATGCAATCTAATCAAATGAGACTAATGAACCTCCTGCACTTCATCAGCAATATAATGGCTATCCTGATACCTGGTGAATGGGTCACCATTATCGCTGTCTGTGTGATTGGTGATACCAATCACAAGACGCTCACAAGGGTCATAGTTGACAAGTTCGCACAAGATCTTGTTACAGGTGCGCTGATAGTTTTTGACTTTGCTGTCTGTGGTGATGTCGAACTCCAGAGAAATGTTGAGTGTGGCAAGGATGGGAAGGAATATGAAGAGGACAGCTTGGTCGTGCCTGTAAAAACCCTATGCAATATGTAGATATGTCATCATCAATGAGCAATTTTTAGAAAACTTATGAAATATGGTCTGCTTGGCCTGTTCTTGTGTTGCTTTGCTATGTGGCAACAGATGCAAATGAATTTGACATCTTTGCCCTCAATCATGTCTTTGAACTTTTGAGAAACACTAAGCTCTTTGCGCAAGTCATGTGAGGGCACTGATCACAGCAGGACAAGAAGTTCATGACTACAGATCCATTATGGCAGACAATGCAGTACTTTGTGGATTTTTTGCAAGTAAAACTGAGATGTCAATATAATTTTGAGATGCACATTGTTATGATCACTGCAATCACAGACCTCCATCAATTCACCTTGCATGTCCTTTGACTCTTCAACAGACACATTCAGGTCCACACATAGGGCCTTGCCAACATAGGACTTCTTTGCAGTTATTTTTCTGAGAGGCATGTTGACTAGCAAGAATGTGGATGTGAATGAGCTTGTGGACAATGATGGGCAGTGTAAGGTAAAATTCTAACAATGGGCACCCACAAATAACAATACATAATATTGGACCCCATGTCACAATATTAAAGTCAGTGTTTTCCATTCAGCCATGAGACATGAATGTTCTGATCAGTCTTCAAAACCAACCGGTCCACATGTCACCACAATCAACTAACACATTGTTCTCTCTACCATCACCTTCATTGAGCAAGATATCCCTACATGTTCTTTTTGTCTCATTGTTTGTTTTATCTCATTTCACAAGGTGTTTCCACTCATCCTAACTTTGTTCTGGCAAATACTTGACTGATGACTGACATATCCTATGATTTGTCTACTATGTACATGTCTCAATCCATTGTTAACCATTCTTGTCCACTGCTCCTACTTGTGCCACATAATTCAGTATATTATTTTTGACCTAGTCAAATAGCCCAAGGTTGAGAATCTGCCTACTCAGGTGAGCCATCTGAGGTGGGCCCATATACAGATAGGACAGGTGGGCCAATCATGAAGCAATAAGATAATTTTTGGTGATGACAGGTGGGCCATTAGTATGATACAAGTAGGCCGGGTGGGCCAGTCAGGAAACAGTAATAACAGATGGGCCAATATCATATAGTTGCAGACTAGGTGAGACAAGAATAGAAAGGATGAGTGGGCTCATTAGTATGATACAAGCAGGCTGAGTGGGCCAATATCAAATAGTTATAGACCAGGTGAGACGAGAATAGAAGGGATGGGTGGGCCCATTCGTATGATACAAGTAGGCCAGATGGGCTGGTCAGGAAACAGTAATTACAGGTGGGCCAATATCAAATAGTTGCAGACCAGATGAGACAAGAATAGAAGGGATGAGTGGGGATACAAGTAGGCCAAGTGGGCCAGTCAGGAAAAAGTAATGACAGGTAGACCAATATCAAATAGTTGTAGACCAGGTGAGACAAGAATAGAAGGGATGAGTGGGTCCATTAGCATGATACAAGTAGGCCGGTGGGCTGGTTAGGAAACAGTAATGACAGGTGTGCCAATATCATATAGTTGCAGACTAGGTGAGACAAAAATAGAAGAGATGAGTGGGCCAAGAAGTGGACCCATTAGTGATGTCCGGATTGTTTCTGGTACTGATGGATAGGCCAAGAAATGGGCCTGAAGATTCTCCTCGCCTTGGACACCTCTAGATAATCCATTGCCCCGGTATCAACAGATGGACCAAGCACTGAACCAGACAATTGCCTTATGTCTTCTGGTCATCTTTAAAAATAATTGCTATTTCTGGTAACGACAGACAGGCCAAGAAATGGACCTGACAATTCCCCAGGATTTGGACATCTACAAATGAATTATTTCCAGCACTGATGGGCAGGCCAAGAAATGAACTGTCTTTAGTTGTCTATGGATGAAATGTTGTTTCTGGCAATGATAGATGGGTCAAGAAATGGATATCAATATCCACCAGGTCTTCAGTCATCTATGGATCAACTGTTTTTTCCAGTACTAACGGATAGGTCGAGAAATGGAGCCCAATATTCCGCCAGGTCTTCAGTCATATGCGGATAAAGGCTGAATTCCCGTCACCTTTTCCGAGTGTATGCACTGGGCTCATCCATTGTTGTTTCCGAGATGATCTGCATATGTGCTGGGCCTATTTGTCACCTCTGTGCTGTGGGCCCACCCGCTCCCACCCACCCATGGGCCCACCTTGGATGGCCTGGTTACCTGGGCAGAATCTTAGTCTTTAGCTGTCCAACTAAGTCATAAAATGTTACTAAATGGGCTCCTTGTGCAAGATCCAGGCCTTGTTATTCACACATATGATGCTGTTCATTGAAAAATTCTGTAAGATGAACCAGTATCTTATACTAATCTTCTCTCATGTGATAGATGAACCACCCCCTCCTCCAACACCAAATGACTCCAAGCCCTAATGAACTCTTACTGGTGTGACCTCTTTTGCACCAGGAGACACTATACTAGCACCCTGAGCACCAAATAAACTATCTTGGTCCTTCTTGTTACCTACAAACCACAACCATTCCTCTGAAGTATCACAAATCTATGTTGCCACAACTTATATAGCACCAAGTTCATCGTCACGCCCCCTCATCTGTAACATTACCTAAAATGCTTTGTATTAATACTACTGTAACTATAACCTTAGTTGTTCAACAGACCATATTGGATACTATTGCATCACTTTGCAGGATCATCTTGGAGAAAGAAAGTCAATGATTGATGTTATATGTCTGAACATATCATATTGTGTGATGCTTTCAACTTGAGGCCTTATGGATCATGATATCTCGCTCCAAGAGTTGCTCCCATCTGATTTGCAAGCTACCTGGGTTGGGCGCGGAGCTACTTTGGTTGGGTGCAAAGCCACCTGAGTTGGGTGCGAAGCCACCTGTGTTGGGCGTGAAGCCCTCCCTTGGGTTGGGCGCGAAGCCCTCCCTTGGGTTGGGCGTGAAGGTACTGGAGTTGACTGCACAGCTTCTTGGTCAGATGAGGGGAGCTCTTCAGTTACCTGGTTGGTACTAGCTTGATATGGGAGGGGGAAATTCTTGAAAAACTTGACCAAATTCCGAAGCTCACGGAGGACCTCGCCGTTTGTGTCTATGACCAGGGGGATCGAATACATTGAGGGAGACTAAGATTCTAAATGTTCAACATCATCTGTAGTATCATTAGTGCGTGCATGAAAGAGACAACTAAAAAACATACACTCAGACCACTCTCTAATGGACAACACAACATCCGGCTTCTCTACTATTGTACCCTTTGTCCTTCTGTTGTGGTTTGACTTCTTGGATTTACCCTTACACTTCTTTGTCTTCGCGGTTTCTGCCTCACTATCATCGTCCTCATCATCTTGACCTAAGTCAGCCTCGTACATTGCCCCAAGATGCATCCCCAGGTAAGGAACACCAGTGCACGCAACTGGCTCACTGACAATGCTTTGAGATCAAAGTTGGGGCCGGGGGGCGGTACAACAGCAGGCCAGTTAAGGATGAACAGCTGCTCAACATAAAGAGTATTGAGTATGTCCAACCATCTGTTGTTGGAGGTTTTAAGCGGATGGCCAGCTTCAGCTACCAATGAGATACAGCATCAGTAAATTAGCGACACAATAAAATAAAATAAAACATACCAAACTTCTCGCTGATGATCATTGGTGTGACTTTTCTGTTCCTGTCCCTAGCGGACTTGCCATTGCACAAAAGTGTGCCATTTGGGCCAGTGGTAGAGCGAGGGAGAAAACTAAAAGATATCCCTTCTGCTTGCGCAGCCTCTAAGTCTTTGTACCTATCATAAAGTGAGCAATATCCAGTAGTATTGCCAGAAAATGCACTTGAGAATGGTTGTGAGCTCGCCCAAGATATGACTGATGTCAGGTTGTCATGCATTGATGATATCCTTCATGATATCAGACCCAGAGAAAAACCCTGATGCTTGGTGGCCAGCATCCTCATAACCAGGAAATATTGCAACACCAGAAATATGAATACCATGGGTGTGGTACCAGTAACCAGCCTGTGTAATACTTAGTCTCTCCATCAATGTCCTATTAATGTGAGACTCACCGCTTTTGAAAAATCATCACAAACGCGCAGCATCAGAGAACTAGCAGATCATGACATCAAGTCCTCAGTTGCACCAGCAAGTGAACCACCCCAATACTCCTAAATCTTCTGCTACAATGCTGCGTGTTTGGGGTCTTTGTATGGATGAGCCTTGTAGTGTGCTGCTTGCTCCTCCTTCCAAGCTATGATATCCTCTGCGAAGAATGTAAGCATACCACGCACACCCGCAAAGGAATATACATACATTCTTGAGAGGGGGGGCTAAAAGTCTTGAACCACGTTTGGTGCTGATTCCAAGGAGACTCCTTGCGTGTTGCCTTTGTGGCCAGCCCTACCTCAATGAGGATCACCCTCGCACTTTTTCCATATTCTTTCCCTCATGCTTTTGCTGCTTTGATGGTGGTTCACCCAAGTTCCTGCACCTTTAGGACCACTTCAAATGGCAGCCTTCCCTTCTTGGCGGGGCCTTTGTCACTCTTATCCTCATTGACCTCCTGTTCCTCATTATAGTCCTGCTCATCATTGTCACCCTTATCAAACGCCTTAGCTCTGCCTTTTCCTTTTTGTTCATGGGTCAATCGGAGTGGAGACAAAGAGGGATCGTCGCTGTTGTCATCACCATCAACGGCAGAAGGGCGTGCAGCTTTTTTGTGCTTTTCTTCATCTGCAGCCCAGTTGCTATCAGAGGGTGAACTCTCTGCGCCATCGCTGTGGTCGTGTGTGTAGGACTTCGCAGCACCCAACCTACATGGGCGAGGAGCAACTGCAATTTTTGATTCGCTCTGGGCAGTAGACACTAAAAGAACTGTAAGTGAGCTATAAAATAAGAACGGCTCAGAGTGACATACCTGAGGTATCATTACAAATGTTAGTGGCTTCCTTTGGCTTGTCCAATCAATGAGCAGTGGAGACTAAAAGGATAGTTAGGTGTGACCTAGTAATCTAACGCTGGGAGCGACAGACCTGAAGTGTCCTTGTCACCTGCTGTGACATCTCCTGAGTGGTGTTGACTTGGAGCTTCATGGACTGGGGTAGGTGTTGTCTTGGTGGCATCCGACCTACATGAGGGGAGAGCAACTGCAACATTTGATTCGCTTTGGGCAGTAGACACTAAAAGAACTGTAAGTGAGCTAGAAAATAAGAATGGCTCAGAATGACATACCTGATGTATCCTTGCAAACGTCAGTGGCATCCTTTGGCTTGTCCAATTGGCTTTGAGCAGTAGAGACTAAAACTACAGTTAGTCGACCTAGAAATGCAATGTTGGGAGTGACAGACCTGGAGTGTTCTTGTCGCCTACTGTGACAACTACTGAATTGCGGACAGGGGTAGGAGCTAGCAAACATTGAGTTAAGGTAGACGTCCACCAAATGAAAGGGGCTTGCCTGATTCCTCATCACCATTTATAGCTACTCCGTCAGTATCAGCTTTGGGATTGTTGTAGGCGGACGTCTTTTGGATGGATTGGCGCCTCGAAAAAAAGGGACTGGAATGGTCCCGAGGATCCGGTCAACGGATAAGCGGTAAAGGAGGACGAGCCGGTAGCAGGTGAGGATGAGGATGAAGGGAAAAATGATAGGGGGCCAGGTAGCAGATATTACTTGTAACAAAACCTCACCGCTGTGCAGGCCTCAAGTCTGTCATCAGCAATAAAAATTGAGAAGAGGTAAGTCATGTGGTCATATCGTTGTTAGTATTACCATTAATTTCTTAGCTGTCTGTGCGTCGACCCAAACCAAAGCCCTGTCCCCTTCCACGGTCCTCCACATGGTCTGGTCCCATGACTTCATCAGCTGAGGAGGGGATTTTTTCCTCTCTTGCACCAATGTGCGCACGTGCCTTCAGGCTATGACTCGTCCTGACTCATGCCACCAATGTGGCTTCCTTATCTCGTCTTATCCTTCCTCTGACTCATGCGTGCTGCACATTGTATCCCTTACTGTTGGCTCGTTCCAATGTTTCTCGGTCTCATTCTGCATTCGACCACTCATCACTAATCCGGCTCTGTTGCCAGTGTACCTATACCCTTTCTGTTTCCCCTTTACCATTACCTACAGTATGGTAACCTTGCCCTCAACCCTTTCCACTTAGTATAAGTAGTCGGTCACCCTGTACTAGATTCTCTAACTTGAATCTACTCAATCTTCCCTGGAACATACTTCTCTCTGAAGCCTCTCAGCTTCAGTCTCTAGTATCTTTTCTTAAGTGCTCTTCGTGCTTAAGTCTACTTCGATTGACTCTTATCGTTTGGACAAGACTGTCCTTACTTTGAGACTTCTGTGACTTTGAAGACATCTGTCTTAGAAGTCACATGATACGCGCATCTCTGATATCTGCCGACTCGATGTCACCAGTCTCAGTCGCTACACCGGACCCTTCCGGTTACGTCATGAATATTAGTGGACAACACCCCTCTCAGGGCTCCACATAACAGATCTATTTGAGTGCATAACAGGTTTGGGATGTTCGAGGGGCTAGAACATCAATATCATCAAAAATCATTTGAAAATTTTGAAAAAGATCAACTTGCCTCCACATCATCAGCATCGGACTCTGTAGGATGTTTTGCCCCGTGGGTCTTGATATAGGGTACAGTTAGTTTGTGAAGACAAAATATTGAGAATTATTACTGTTCTGGTCTTCGTCACATTGCGTGGCAAAGTTCCATTGGGCAGATATGAGGGTCTGGCATGACGGCCTGAATGGGTTGTAGGCATTTGCAATAATATTCCAACGATCACAAAAATACGTAGAATTTAAATTGAGAACTCAAAGTTTTCTCAACAATGTTTCGCGACACAAAGCCGGGCAAGACAATAATAGGTAGGGAAATGCTAAGAATGTTTGCAATGATATCATGGGGATGAGATGCTCAGAATTGGGAGGATTGCCTTTATAACATGATTGGGCGCCACTGTGAGAACCCTGAAAGCCAAAATATGCTAGCACCAAAAATGAAAGAATTAATTCGGTTTGTTAAAATTTGAAGGTGCTGTATGCATAAAAAGCTAGCTTTGAAAATATTATACTCCATCGAAGAAGATCGGAGGTGATGACTACGTAATACCTGCATTATAATGTCGAAAAAGAGCCAACATTGCAATCAGTGATCGATCATAGGACAGTAAAGTTCCAGACTCACTCAAACGGAAAGGGTATTTCTTCCCTGGCATGACACTCATATCAGACAGCCAAACAAGCTAGTCTGCAATATGACAGTGGTACCCGTTGAGTTGAAACCTGAGATGAACAAGTCGAAACACTTGCTGGTCACAAAATACGGTTTCATTCACCTATATGACCTGGGTAGTGGCACATGTGCGACATCGCAATCAGTGATTGATTGCAGGACAGTAAAGTTCCAGACTCATTCAAATGGAAAGGGTATTTCTTCCAAGACCCTCTTTTGGTGTGTCGCTGCCATCACTTCCATCTCAAGATCATTGGTGCTGCCCTGCACAATCTCACTGTTTGCACTCCTGCATCTAATTGATGAGACTTCCGTACATTCACTGCTCCACTGTCTACTGATCTCATGTTTTGCAGATTAGAGTCCTTACATTTGTCTTCCTTTGTGGTAGGTACTCTTTATCATGTATTGTATGATAACCAGCACTTACACTCTCACCATATCACACTCAACTTGCAGGTGCGTTGTGACTTTTCATCAAGTACGCGCTACTTAAACATGGCAGTTTTCATCATGCCCACCGCTCTATCAATGTTCAAGAGCAACACAACTCTTTGGGATGGTAGGAGGGGTTATTTCTGACATCTGTATCCTACTAATGTGCATACATACTACAGGATGGCTGCAAGCTTTCGACGCCTGCGCCGTTGCTGTCCAAGGAAAGCTGGTTATCACGATGCCAAAAATGGACTTCGTTCCCACATTCCAGCATTTTGAAGAGGAAAATGTACAGGCTCGTGCGGATGGTCATTTTGGCGCCATGGATTGCTTTCAGTGGCTTCAAGCTTATAATAATGTTTTTTTGCAATTCAACTTGCATTCCTCGAAAGGAGGCATTCCCATCCCTGCATCCGCTACATTGGGCTTGGTTCACTCCCACCCAAGAAGACTTCAAGCCAATCCCAGGCAACTCATTCCCTGTAGGCACACTTGCAGCAGATAAGGTCGAAGGCTTGGATTCTCTTCGAAAATTGGCAGAGAAGCGGGTGCAGGATTGGAGAGCTAATCGGCAAGGCAAGAATGATGCTGTTGTCAGTCGCATCTTGTCCCTTCGACATGGCATCTCATGGTTGAAGACGTATCCCCTTACATTCTGCGACCTTCTCATGTTCGTGACTGATGCCCAACGGCTGTTTCTTGAGATTCATTCATTCATGGACTGGATCCTCCTTGCTCAGCCTCATATCACTGCCAGTGACAGGACTGCCATTGTCAACTTGGAGTGGATGGGCGCCTTCACACACGACAGTGACATGTGCAACAAGCTGTACATTGCTGGTATCCCTGTTTGGTATGTCCGCACCACGGCATACATACCTTCAAATATGACAGTAAAACAGCCCGTTTTACTCACCTATCCTAATCAAATCATCCTTTCAATGTACGCAGAGGCCAACAAAGTTCAACTGTACGAAATCATCCATCATGGCCCAGGCGGCAACAATCGTCAGCTTCATGTTCGCCACCTCTATGGGGGCACAACTTTCAAAGACCCTGAGCCAGGTCCTTCATCAGGTCCTTCGTCGAGCAGCTTATCTGCACCCAGTTCTTCTACTGCTGGGCCATCCTCTCAACCATCCGTTGCAGGCAAGGCCCTTCAAAAACATCATAACAAGAAGCACAGGCACCAGCCCTGTAAGTACTATTCGCCCCTCTTTCTTATGTATCATAACTAACTACTAAATATTAGATGTCAAAGATGCTCGGCCCGCACACCACAACCAGTCAGGTGAATCCATTAGGGACAAATGGAAAGATCCTGAGAGCCCCTACTTCCCACCGTCAAAGCTTCATTGGGATGATGCCCTCAAAAGATGCATCAAGGATTCATCTCGTGTCCGCACTCCCTACATCATTGACTGAGGATACAGGTTCCCCAAACCAGGTCTCCTATTCAGTCCCAAGCTGCCGGAGCACCTTCAGGGATATATAGCCACTTGGCTCGCCTGTCGTCCAATATGGATTGGGTGGGTTGATCACAGCCCTCCTCACAATTACCCGTCCCCTCAACTATGGTGTGACTTCCTTGGTAGCAGAATTTCTGCCCAATCACAAGCCGCAGCGCCCAAAGGCAAAGCCCCCCAAAAAAAGGTCTTACTGTAGCGGAGAAGTGCAAGGGAATGATGAAGGATTTGCTCGGAGATGATATGGTGGACTCTCACAGAGATTTATTTGCACCAGAAGGAATGGTAGAATTTCGTGGTGAACAGGTCCCTGTCGCCAGTCTCGCCCACCCTCCCCAGCTCCTTGCCCAAAAGATTACCTGGGAGTTGTTCGAGCTTGGATTCCGCTATGAATTGAGGGATCTCGATCATCACTTGGCCAAGGGATGCTGGGCAGAAGATCCGGTTGGTCACGAACAGTTGCTGCATGCCGTCTTCCCTGGTGAGACTGGCCTTGTCATGTGGTCAGAGCCATTTCCAATGGACAATTACAGGATGTGGAATAACACCTTAACTGGTGTTCTTCCATACCTTGAAAGTTTGCGACAGCTGCTGTGCTCTTGGGATGATGTGCTGCCCCTTCTTACATCTCCGCTCATGCAAGAGAGCTTTACAGACACAAAATTGTGGGAAGTCACTTGCACTGCGACTGTGTTTTATGTTCAGATGTTTTTTGATCACTTCGGTAGGCCTCCCATTGTTCCTCACTCGCTCCCCCTGTAATCATGATTTCATAATGCTACATCGCATACTACATTGTCTTCCGTGTTTGTGTACAAATATTATGTTCCCTCAGCCATAATGGTGAAACGGATGCTTCCGTAGTTTCCTCTAGTCCCGTTGTAGTAGGGTGCATGTGCCTCAGGAGCACTTCCGGTTTGGGGAATCAGCGGGTTTGGCCGGTTTGGAGCCTTTAGAAGGCACTTAAGAGTAGCACCGCTTGTAGAGTAGCTTTCAGGTTTTCACATCTTGTTCAGACCAAGTGTCGAGGCTGTGCCTCTCCACCTAGTGACTAGAGCGACCATTCACCACGGCCATTACTTTAGACGACCTCTGTCACATTCAAAACATCCAACATATGAAAAGCCCACCAGCGCTTAGGCGCATGGCTTCAGACAAAATTTTCCCCATCTTCCGCTCCACCCAAATTCTTCTGTGACCTTGCCATTTCAACGCCTAAGAAGCTTGCACACTGCGACTCACAAAATCTATGATTCATTCAACAAAGAGCAGCTCTAAGCAGAGCGGTCCCATCTCTTTTGCAGCAACCACAAGTCATCTTAGTCCCAACCTCTCCACCAGCTATGGCAACTAGCACTTCCACGATAACTCCACAACCAAGCTTCCATGGAGATTATGAAAAAGACGAAGAACCCACGGACTGGCTTAGAAAATATCAACTATCCTTACCGGCATCATACTTAGACAAGGACAAGATCGACCATTTTGAACTTCAATGCGCTGCAGCTAGTCCTGCCAAAGAATGGTTCGTAAAACTTACCAGCGTCAGACAAGTCAACCTGGGCAATGTTTCTAGCAGCCTTCAAGACACGTTGGCCCCCACCAGTACATGCAAAACTTACGGCAGCACAGAAGAAAGAACGCCTCAAGTCGATAGTCCTTAAGGAAGAAGACATTGGAGTGATGATCAAGAAGGACAGAGGGAGAGACTGGGGTCATGTGAAGTGGGCCAAGCAGGTCGTGCAGATGGTGTTGGGGTTTGGAGACGTACAATGTCATTTTTTGGACGTAGTGTTGGAAAACACACCAGAAGTCTTGCAAGATTTCCTTGCGGATCAGTACACTACATGGGCAGAGTTCGAGGCGGACGTCGCCAGAACGTCAGTGTCTCAGCTCATATGAGCTAAACAACGGATGGTAAACGAATGGAAACTCAGAGAGGATATCGACAGATTGCAGTCGACGATAGGCCGTAAACAAACAGGGCCAACACCCCAATCCATGCAGTCCACGTTCGCTTTACCATCCACATATCGACCTTGTTATATGGCTAACACAGCAAAGCAAGCCCAGGTAGCACTGCAAAACTCACAACCCACACAACCACCCCCACCTATAACACCTGCACAAATCCCTCAGACGCCACAGAATCCGTTCACCACGACAATGCTATTGCCCAGAACCAACCTATTCTACGGATATAAAGGAGGATTCCCCCAAACACTGTCACAAGGAAGAGGAGCCTCGGGAGACGATCGTATGCGTGCTGCAGCACAGTTTGCGGTGCTGACGCATCACCCAGATCCAGAGGCAGGAAGGCAGGCGTATAGTCAGCAAGTACAAGATTGGCATGTGCAGCACAGACAAGAAGCCACCCCCAACACCACGAAGCCATACCCGTTAAAACCGGGAATGTCACCTCTTGGCTCGAGAGAATGTTTCAACTGTGGGCTGGCAATGATGCCAAGCCATCAAGTGCATGAGTGCCAGAATACAGCAGTTCCTCAGCAGGAAGGACACTGGAGGGAAATGGTGTCCCATCTAGTAACACGCTCACTCGCACCTCCACAGACCCCGTCAAGCGTTCAGTTCGTAACACCTACGCAAAATCAGATGCAGCACCAGTTCTACCCATCCTATTTCGCACAAGGACCTTGGCCCACCTATGATCAGTTCGACCAATCAGGAAACGGGTACGGACCACAACAGTAGGGGACTTCTCTGCGGTCCATATTGAGAACCAAGCATCAAACATTTCACCTGAGTCTGACGACCAGCAGATGTCTGTGAAGTCCCTATGTCCTCCAATCTCTCTGAACAATCATCCAGCCTACCATCCACAGTACCATCGTCAGCCTGGCCCTCCAGCCTTGGTTCGTCCCTCATCAATACACCAGAGGCGTCCCCACCAGCAGAACTGGTGACAGAAAACGCCAACGATGAATTGGAAGATGACGACTTGGTCATTCCCATGTTAGAAATCACTTCACCGGCCAGTACTTTGCCTTTACCTGACTCACCTTCTATTATTTCTCTTCCTGATTCTTCCGATAATGTATGACTTACTCGATTCTATGTTGGACTCTGATACATCAATGCTCCCCTTCACCATACTTGACGATGTGAATACAACACCAAACATAGATTCTGTTATGAACACTAACATTACGTTGAGTGACATGTCTATTCCAGAGTCAATAGACACCACTGACTCCTACCCAAGTGTGACCAAGTTAAATGTGATTGACTTACATGCAATCTCGGAGGATGTTGAGGATGCTACGGAAAGCACACCATTCACGACGCAAGTCATCTTGTACGGACCAGGAGGGAAAACGTCATGTTTCCAGGCGAACATAGATGATGGAGCCATGGTAAACATTATGGATCTTAAAACTTTCAGGAAAGTGAGCCAGCACCTTAAGAAGCCGATTAGATCAAATAGAAGCCTTTGCATGGCCAACGGATCAATTGTGCCGTCTCAAGGAGTATGGCAAGGAACGTTCCAGTGGAACAAAGTCAAAATCCGCACTTCCTTCTAAATATTTGATACTGGCGGAGTTTGGTCGATGTTGATTGGTAAGCCACTGCTCGAACAGCTGGGAGCAATCCACAATTACACCCAAGACGCTATCATCATCCCGCATCACCCCACACCTGTCGTCATACGCAACATCCATGGAACGACAGCAGCTCCGATCCCGAAAAAGTCAAAACTAACTGTAAATAATGCAGCTTCAACAGCACAGAAACCCGTACATAGTAACATTGACCATTCTCATTTAGACTCAATTCTTGTCATTTCTATACCACTAGATACCAATACTAATTCCACTTCACAGAAAAATCTCAAAAGACCAATCACAACGACGGAACATTATGTATTCAAGATTGATCCTCAAGTAACAAAAGACCAGCTAGAAGACCATTCAAAACACCTCGCACAAGCTGGAGCACACGTGGTGCAAGCAGATCAACGACCAGTCATCTCAGTAGTAACCGAACAGTCATTGCCATCACCATGCTCACCCGCTTCATTCACAGCAGCAGACATAGAGAATGAAAATGACGCCAGCACACCAGCATGGCCAATTTTCAGTCAAACTGAAGACACCGAAGACGCCAATATAGGAGAAGTACCCGAGTTCCTGACAACCGAAGCTGCACCCAGCATCTACTCAAGACACACCAATCTGTTCAATCCAGCACGCGTAGCAGAAATCATGCGAGTAATAAAGATAGGCGATGATCTCTCACCAAATCAGAAGATGCAGGTATGTGATCTCTGCGAGGAATTTGCTGACACGTTTGCTCTCAGCATCAGTGAGGTCTATCCGGTCGACTTCAAAATGTTCAAACTGCATTTCCTGGAAGGAACCAAATTCAAGACCAAAGTTAACCAGCGACCATTAACGCTGCCTCAAAGGGAGTTCCTGTACGAGCATCTCAATGAACTCGAGAAGGCAGGCATCATCCGAAGAATCGAACCAGAGGACGTCAGGGCAGCAAGTCCGACAGTACTAGCCCAAAAGGCTCATGGCTCAGAAGGACTACCAATAGAAGAACTCCTACATCGGATCAACGAACAATGCAGTGCCCACGGACTACCAATGTGAGACAATCTCCTGCCACGTCCTCCACTCGATAACAACGCTAAGATCCAGAAATCGACCCCAAAGTGGCGGATATGCCAAAACTTCTCAGAGGTAAATCGAGCCAGTCAAGTCCCACCTGTTCTGCAAGGAGACATACAGACTAAACAGCAATGGCTGAGTGGGCACAGGTGGATAAGTATCATAGACTTCACAGCCGGATTTTACGCTATTCCAGTCGATCCAGACTCTCAACCTTACCTAGCGTTCTACATGGAAGGCCGAGGATACAACTGTTATTGTTGTATGCCTTTCGGACTGACAGGAGCACCGACAAACTTCGGAGACATGGCTGCTATCACCCTCCACAACTTAATTGGTTTGCTCTTCGAATTGTATGTTGACGACACTGGAATGGCAGGAGATGTTTTCACAGAAAAACTATCATGCCTACGAACATTCTTCGAGCGTGTACGAGACATGCACCTGTCACTATCTCCCTCAAAGATGCAACTGTTTATGACAGAAGTTATTTTTGCAGGAGCACGAGTAGGACATGAAGGTATCAAACCCGACTGAACCAAAATTTCAGCAGTAGTAGACTGGGCAGTCTCCAACACCGTTCACGATCTAATGCAGTTTCTAGGTTTAACAGGGTATTTCAGATCGTTATTGAAGGACTATGCAAGACGAGCGGCCCCATTAACAGACTTAATTAGGAAGCTGGGCGCCCCTCTGGGAGGCCAACATGTCGGTAGGTACAAGTACAGACAACACTTACATCATACACAGCTATGACCACACTGGGGACCTCGTCACACGGAAGCGTTTATGGACCTCAAGAAGGCACTAGTGTCAGAACCAGTACTCAAGGGACCAAGATTCGACGGGACACCATTCATCGTGACCATGGATGGGTCTCAAGATGGATTTGGCACCATACTGGCCCAGAAACACACCTCCACCCTAATGTCAGGGAAAGTAGTCACTTCCATTCACCCAATAGTGTATGCGTCAAAACACACATCACCTACCGAAAAGAAGTACAAGCCATTTATACTCGAGTTCACTGCACTGAAGTACGCTCTAGATCAATTTTCAGACATTATCTGGGGCGCACCGGTGGAAATCAAAACAGATTGCCAAGCCCTACGGGACACGCTACTCAGTCCAAAACTTAGCATGGTACACGTGTGTTGGAGGGACAGAATCCTCGCATACCATATAACTGACGTTTGACACCGAGTAGGAATATCAAACACAGCGGCTGACAGACTGAGTCGTGGATTCATGACAAGGGAACAAATTGAAGGAGATGGCAGCGGATGGACAGTTAGTGAAGATTGGGAAGAAGCATGAGGAATCATGCAAGATTTGTTTGCAGTAGGATCCAGTACTCAAGTATCAACCACGAATATGGACGCCTTACGATCGCACTTTGCTAACGAACCTTTGTTTTTAGAAATTGTCGACGTGATTCAGGACTTAGACTCAGAGAAGACAGTCAAGGAGAAAATGCGTGCTCATCATCGAGCACAACACTTCTTCATCTCCAAGGGTAAACTTTGGCGGGTACCCAACGACTCGTCAACATGAGTACACAGCAAGTTAGAATGCGTCACACAGGAGGAAGCTATGGAACTGGCAAGGATAGAGCACTCGATGAAAGGGCATTGAGGGAGAGACTTAGTGAAGCTACAGCTGATTTATCACATATACAGCCCTCGATTGGACCAATCCATAAGCACCACCATCGTAGATTGCGCACAGTGCAAGGGATTCGGCGCAGCACACATCAACTCTCTCCTTGAACCTATCGTACGAAGGCACCCATTCGAACTATTCATTGCGGACTACTTAGCCATGCCCAGAGCAAAGGGAGGATTTCACAATGTTCTTCTCATCATCGATACGTACTCACAATACATTTGGGGATTCAAACTCAAGGTACACGGCACTGCAAAGACAACATTGGCAGGACTCAAGAAAATATGACACAACTTCAGACAACCGGAGGTATTGATGACAGATGGAGGAAAGCATTTCAATAACATGGACGTGAAGACATGGTGTGACGCACATGAAGTCAAAAGACATATCATGGCAGCCTATGCTCCATGGGTCAATGGGCTCATAGAAGGCACCCACAAGATCTTATTGGCGCAGCTCAAGTACATGTGTGCCCCCCAGTTGAGAGAAGATAACTATGTCGACATTGACCCGCAGACCATACCTGTGGCCTGGTCTGACCACTTTGACCAGGCCATTGAACATCTCAATGGGAGGGTCCTACCAGCCTACCAATTCTCGCCAAGAGAACTCCTACTTGGCCTAGTCGTCGACACGCCACGCACACCTCTTCCAGCCACTTCTAACCAACTCTCCATGGTAGATGTACACATCCACTCTGTGTACATAGCGCAACAACGGCTAGACGCCTTGGCCAACCGCGTCGCAGATTCGCTCAAACGTAAAGCAGTGTTCGACAAATGAGTCCTCGCATTGTCAACAGGACACGTTGTCTTTCACCCAGGCCAACTCGTACAAGTATATGCGAGTGATGTTGACGGCAACTACAAGTCATCAAGAAAGATCACACCACGTTGGTCCACCCCTTGCCGAGTAACGTCTCAGTGAACGAATTCATACGCACTAGAAACTCTCAAAGGATTTCCAATGGCAGGGTGGTTCCACGCGAGAAGACTTAGACTGTTCCTGCCGTGCACGGGCACACTGCTAGATGAGATGGAGAAAGAAAGGGAAGAAAACGAGACATGAAGAGAAGAGGAAGAAGCTGGAACAAAGGAATAGATGTAAAAAGACAGAGAGGACGAGAAGCGGAAGAGCGAGAAAGATACGGCCGAATACGCAGATTTTTTCCTTTCTTTTTCCTTTCTCCTTGGACGATGCGACTCCGGGGACATCACATTTTTGTGGGGGGTATTTGTAGTAGGGTGCACGTGCCTCAGGAGCACTTCCAGTTGTAGCACCACTTGTAGAGTAGCTTTCAGGTTTTCACATCTTGTTCAGACCAAGTGTCGAGGCTGCACCTCTCCACCATTTTAGTGACATGGTGCGTGTATTTGTTTCTCCAGCCTTCTGCTTGACTTTTCTGTGCAGGCATGGGACATAATGTGTTCATATTCTCTGTGGCCACCAACTCGAGCGGTTTGTCCCAACTTACTTTTATTTCTATTATATTTACCTTCTCCATCCTCCACTTCCTTCCATTATCTTACTCTGCCCACCTTTGTGCCTCCCTGAGTGAGATGATGAGAACCTTCGTGACATGTGGTCGATGCCTGATCAGGCTAACCTGAAGGGAACGATGCAAACCTTTTCCCTCCATATTTTCCCATTCTGATACTGAATTATTATCCCATTGATCATTCGATTCCGCTTGTTATACTTCATTTTTTTCCCTCCCTTTTCATCCAATGTGCGGGTCAGGTTGTATGCTTGACCTTTATTGATCTCTGCTGTCTGTCACTGATAAGCAAGCCCCACAGCTACTCCAACTGACTTTGCATTGTTGGTGACTTTTGTTCACGAGTTCATCCAATTGACTTTGTGTCATTGGTGTGTGGCGCCCGTTATATTAACTCTTACAGTGCTGCACTATGGCAGTCCATTGTCCTAAGCCTAGACATCACAAAGTATCTACTCTGGAAGCGGCATCTACCATGCAGAAAGGACTGTCTCCAAATACTATAGTCTGTGAACCTTGGTTGAACAAGGCATTGTGATGTCCCCACCAGACTCGCAAGTTAGACCTCTATCTTCCTGGACCACCCCCTGTCTTGATTATGCCCGGACGTCAGTGTCTCACTCAGCAAAGTTTATCTCTTCCATCCACACCTAGGACGGTTACCCCCAAGATCGTGACGGACCCACAGATCCTTTTAGCGACTCCCTCCATTTCTTTAATGATCCCAGTACCTGTCATCTCACCAGCTCGCAGAAAAGGCCAACCAGTGGCGCAGATGGTCAGAAGAAGTTATTCCATCACTTATTATGCCCTATCTATCGTACATGCAGGAGACTTCAATGCTACGCTACACCAACATTGTATGACAGCCACACAGAGATACTGTAGCTTGTCATGCTGGGTGTGGGACACACAGTATCAAGGTTGCATGCATGTTCTTTGACAGTATGTTGTCTATCTTCTTTTCTCCCCTGATGGCTGATCTAACATACATTACAGGCTTGTCAGAAATTAATATCATTGCATGCCCCTGTTTTCCTGCCCCTCTCCAGCTCCATTATTGTGGGCTGTTTCCATGTGCTCCTGTTGCTCCCTCACTTGCAGTAGACTTACGTGTTCTAGAGTTTGTCCGCCTTCTTTTCATTTGTCAGTCTCCCAACCATACTGCATGGTGCGATGCAGTGGAGACATTTCTAGATGGAATGTGATATAAGTTGACATCAATGGTTAGCATTTGATCCTTCATGTACATAGCATGTTTAACCTTGTATTAGCATAGCCTGCGCCGTCGCTTCGCCAATGCATTTCACTGGTACCAGGTGTTGATCATTTTAGCTTGTGATCACATCTCCAATCTTATTGCCGACACCTGGAAGGACAAGATCCGTTTGCAACTAATAACAGTCAAACAACCTACTGAATACCTTCTTTCATGCTGCCCACTTTGCTTCGGGGCAAATGATTGGCAAAAGGCGAAAGATTCTCGTTTCATGTAAGTTCATTTATGTAGCTATGGTGCTGCGTACTCAGTTGATCATACTCAGGCCAGATATTATCGTTTGCATAGATGCATGCTTTACTCAAAAACACTCCACCAACCCTTGTGGTGCTGATGGTCAGGACCCTCCCAACCCGACACCATCCTTTTTTCTACCAAAGGATGACGTGCAAGCGATGGATGAGTTCATGCAGCGCTGTCGAGGAGAAAGACGTCAGGAGAGGGTCTCAAGGACAGAGCCAGAAGAGGATCACTATGAAAAGGGTATGAATGTGCCAGTATCAGTCCTGGATGGATGCAGAGAATCTTTCACAGCTGCAGATGAGAAATGGGAGAAGGCAAGCACTCATTTTTTTACTGATACAGGCCTTATGGCGCTGCTTTGTAGACATGACCATGTTCCCTAGATTGTGAACCTCATATTGGTGGGGGAGAAACAACATTACTTGCTTGCTCTATTGGACCGTCTGTTCAAGCATCTACCCCCTCAAATGACCGTTGGGCTTCTGTACGACATTGGGTGCCAACTTGAATGGAGCTGTCGCAAATAGAGTCTTCTGGATGAATCTATTTTTCACTGTCATCTGACATATGTGGAATTTAGCCTGAGTCATTGTTGTTGATGACTAAGCAAAATTTATCACAGAATTAAATGTACAAAAATATTCAGCCTATCTGAGTTCTGTTGAAAAGATGATATAAAATATTGTCTGAGCTACATTCTGGCTTTAAAGTAGAGGGAGATGGTTTCATAGTGATTTCTAGGGTATTAGGCTCATGGGAGAGCATTAGTCATCCATGCACCGAACTGGTTTGGTGCAGGTCAATGGAACCTGGGCAAAGTTCTTAGATGACTTCGCCACTGCCTTTGATCTCATTGACTCCACGGGTACTGCATTGTACAAACAGCACAACCTTAAGCAAGGAGCAGATGTCAACGAGTACATCAACACATTCAAACAGCTCTGTGGCAAAGCTGGAATCACAAATTTTGCTCCCAAGAAAGACTACTTTCTCTGTGGTCTGAAACCCAAAGTCATCCAGAACTCTGGAGATATCTCCGACACTTTCGATGGCCATGTCAAAAAGGTTGTCAGCATGGAGTCTGCATACCAGCTCCTGATGTCTCACCGATCCCACTACTCTTCCCAGAATAACCGGAAGATGACCCCATGATATACGCCCACCAGATCCCATGATCCTAACATCATGAACGTGGACTGCACGACCAACGAAGCCAGAACCAAGCATATGAAGAAAGGCTTATTCTTCTTATGTCACAAAGCAGGACATCGCGCCAATGACCCTGCTTTTCACCCCAAGAAGACCAGAGATGCCCAAAAGAATGATAAAGGGAAGCAACTGGTAAGGCATACAAAGCCTGATGATAAACAGACCTCAAGCAAGGTTGAAGAACTATCTGACGATGAAGATTTGGAAACCAAGAGAATGGATTTTTAGAACAAGAGCCTACTACAGCATTAGAACTCCCATATCTCAATGTACGTACCGTCAAGAATGTAGGAAAGACCAGAGAATTTAGGGTGCCAGTCACTGTCTTATCCTCTGAATGTTGAGACAAATCACTGGAAATCACTGCCGTCATTGACACTGGCACAGTTGCAACATTCATTCACTGGATGTTTGTCAGAAAACACAAGATCACCACCCACAAACTATCAAAACCAATCAAGATATGCACCACAGATGGAGAACTCTCCAAGCACACTGTCACACACTTCTGCCATCTCGCGATCAAGATTGACAACCGAGTCATGATAGGAAAGTTCAATGTCTTCAACATGAGTCACAAAGATATGATGCTCCTTGTAAAACCCTGGCTGAATGCCATAAACCCTGACATCAATTGGACCAATGACACCCTTCGATTACCTTCTACCTCTCAATCTATCAGACTTGAAAACATTTATCGAAAGAAGTGGGAAGTCCATATGACTCGTAAGAAACTTACTGTCTCCGAAGAACTCGAGAAGGAGACCACCCTGTCTGAAACCCCCTGCCTATGAATGGCAAAATAACCATAGAACAAATCAAACTTCAAGAAGAAGAAGTTTTCCATGATGCTCTTGAAGAACTCCCCCCAGCAATGCCTAGACAGATGTTTCCCCCCCATATGACACCAATTGGGACATATGGGATGATGTTCCTACTGAACCATGGGAGAAAGACTGCTTCCTCACCAAAAGGGTAGACGACCCTGCAATGTACACTCTCAATGACAATGAGATACTGATTAAATACACCCAAGATGGTTATGAGGTAACCCTATTCGAAAACCTCACCTTTGACACTTCTCTCACTCATGATGGCACATCCACTACCAAGATCCGCTGTATGGCATCCCTCACCCTGCTCAGAAATCAATGGATCTTGAGAAAGGCTGAAGAAGACAAATATCTGAAGACTAGCAACAAAGCTCAAGAATTTGCCCTCAAAGGTACTCAAGAAAAAAAAAATCCTTTGAAGAGCTCGTTCCCTCATACCTCCACGACTTCACCAATATTTTCGCCAAAGACAGCTTAAATAAGCTTCCCCCTTCCAGACCTGGTGTTGACCATAGAATCAAAACCAAAACAGGTTTTATCCCAAAATCCACAAAAACCTATCCTTTATCTCCTAAAGAAACTGATGCTGTGAAAGCCTTCCTTAATGAGCACATTGCCAAGGACTTTATCCAGCTGTTGAAGTTACCTCAAGTGAGTGGCTTCTTCTTTGTAGGAAAGAAAGAGAGTTCCCTCAGACCCTGCCAAGACTATTGTTACATTAATGAATGGACGATAAAGAACACCTATCCTCTTTCCCTGATCTTGCCTCTGATCGCAAAGCTTCGCGATGCAAAATACCTCACCAAGATGGATGTTCGTTCCAGATATCACAACATCCTGATCCACCCTGACAATTGCTGGAAAGCAGTGTTCACCACCTTGTTTGGACTCTTTGAACTGAAAGTCATGTTCTATGGACTGTGCAACTCACCAGCTATGTTCCAAGCATACATGAACCAGACCTTCCAGAAAGAGATCAATGAAGGATGGATAATTGACTATATGGATGATATCCTCATATTCTCAAAGTCCCTAGAAGAACACTGTAAAAGAACCCACCGTGTACTTGAAATTATCCACAAAAGAATCCTCTTCCTGAAACCCGAAAAGTGCTTGTTCAACGTCCAAGAAGTCAACTACCTCGGCATGATCATGTGCCCTGGCCAAATAGCCATGGACCCAGCCAAACTCTTTGGAATCAAAGATTGGCAGACCCCCACCTCAGTTCAAGAAGTCTAATCGTTCCTCAGATTCTGCAACTTGTACCAACACTTCATCACTCACTACTCCGATCTTGCCCGTCCCCTGATCGACTTGACCAAGAAAGATGCCAAGTTTGACTGGACACCATCCTGCACTGAATCCTTTGAGAAGCTGAAGAAATGCTTCCTCTCTGAACCCGTTCTCTGAAATCCTGATCTCTCCCGACAATTTGCCCTTACCAATGACGCCTCTCTCATAGCCACTGGAGCTGTCCTCCTTCAGACTGATGAAAATGGAGTATATCACCCTTGTAGCTACCTTTTCCAGTCCTTTAACCCCACAAAACGAAATACCAGGTGTATGATCAGGAACTTCTTGCCATTATTTGTGCCCTGAAAGCATGGAGGCATTACCTAGAAGGAAACCCACTCCCTGTGATAATTTTCACTGATCACAAGAACCTCCTCTACTCCCACTCTGCACAGAACCTCACCCGCCGCCAAGCATGATGGCAATTAACCCTGAATGAATTTGATCTAGAACTTCACCATGTTACAAGAAGCAAACTTGCTGCTCCTGATGCCCTCTCCTGCCGCCCTGACCACTCCACTGAAGCCTCTGATAATACTGATGTCACACTTCTCCCCAACTCCCTGTTTGTCCATATTCTTGACACCGATCTTGCCCAATCTTTGAAAGATGCATCCTTGACTCTCTCTGATCCCATTATTCTCGCTGCTCAGCAAGCCCTTGACGGGCTGAATGCTCCCCCTATGAAATCTGCACTATCTGATTGGAAGATTGATGACGGAACCCTATTTTACAAGAATCATGCCTATGTCCCCCCATCACTCTGTCACCAGATCCTGTCCCTCCACCATGATCACCCTACTGCTGGTCACCCAGGACGCTTTAAGACCGATGTAGAGACTAATATCTCTGTGGGCTTGCAGGGATCTAAAATCCCAATGTCTCTATCACTTCCCAACATAGCGTGACTCATATCTCACCCAGCGCGCTCAAGCGCTTTGTCGGCCACTCGCGTGCGCCAGCACTCCGGTTGCTCGTCTGTCGCGCATCCTCAGTTCCGTTGCACGTCCTCCGTCCATCCATTCCATGTCCATTCAGTTCGTCGGTGCATATTCCGATTCTATTTTCATTGATTCTGACATATCTCCGGCGCTTATGGCCATATTCCATATGTTTTTCGTTATGGACCCTTTTTATTACATATTATCTTGTGTCCGCTTCGCTTCTCAGTTTGCTTTAGCACTTGACAGCCCTTAACATTACTTTGTATATATAGATGTGCATAAACTGTATAATGACTATCTTCTGCCCACACATTGTTGGACTCTAAGTCTAAAGTTCTCCCTCTAAAATCTAAAGTATCTAAGTACAATACAAGCGCCGCCGCCGTACATTACTAGAAACTCTGCCAATTAGTTTTCTGACTCATTAAGAGTCGCTGCGCTCCACCACCCACATGCGCACCACTTTCGCTCAGCGCGTGCTTCCGTTATAAGTCGCGCACCGTTAATTATCGTCAGCCGCTATTGCTCATCGGCGCTTCACATCACTTTCACTCACTCGCACTTCGCTCATCGTCACGTGCCTTACCAAGTGCCCGGTCCAGTGTTTCCCTCCATTTTATACACTTAGAGGAACCTTCTCAGTAGCAATCCTCTTGGGCCAATGTATATCTCGCTCATCGAGGACTACTTGAGCATATCTCATACCATCTTATTACCCCACTTCCCATTCCTCTTCTACACCGAAGAACTCGTCAAGTGACATTACTGGTGGCCAGGCATGGGCACATTTATCCAAAAGTATGTAGAGGGTTGCACCCTTTGTCAGCAAATGAAACCCACACTCCTCTTCCCCCCCTTCCTGAACCCTATTCCCTCCTCTGCGCTTCACCCCTTCCCGCAGATCTCTGTAGACCTGATCACTGACCTACCCGAGTCAGGAGGCTATGATTCTGTCATGGTCTTATAAAGGGGGTGATTCTCTGTCCCTGCAAGAAAACCATCACTGCTGAAGGAGTTGCCCAACTCTGTTTCAAGAAAGTTTTTCTCTGCTTTGGCCTCTATGACAAGATTATCTCTGATAAAGATCTGCAATTCACTTCTAAG